CTGTTTCTGCCACCGCTTCTGCTGAAATGCTTGTCAAGGTAATCCTAGGAAGAACTTAAATGGGTGCTGTGGTTCTTTTCTCCTACATTTACAAATACATATTTTCAGCTGTATTCTTCCACCTTCAAGCCCAATATTATAATAGTGCCTTGGGCAATTAAGAAAAATTATGAAAGGAATATAGTAATGGACCATTAAAGAACAAAAATATAAGATTTTTCTCCTGTGTTTTGTGTGCGCATAAGCATTTTCATAATTGATCATTTATTCTCTTTGAATTAACATGTTTTTCAAGAAGGAAGTATCCATTTTAAGATAAATATTCTGACAACTCTGAAGGAATCTCCCTGCTGGTAAATCTGAATAACCACAGAAGGTCACCCTTTCCCTGTGATTTCTGACAGTATGCTGGGCTGATAGTGTATTTGCATCTTCCTAATACCTCGTGATTTTTTTTCCCTTTTTTTTTTTTTGTCTGAAGAAATGGTAGAAGTGGTAAGCAAAGTGCAGAACATGTGATGTGTACTCTGAATATAAAATGATCAGGAATGTAGAGCTCAAAGTTTGTAATGAACCAGCCTTCACTGGCGTATATCGTGTAGAAACCTGTTGTTATGGTGTATCAAAAGATAGAAGGGAATAAATGTAATTATTAGATAGATAAATATGAGAATGTCTAATAATAATATATTACTACTTGGTGTGAGAGACACTGTCACTAAAATATTTTGCATTATTTTTTGGTATTCAAGTTTGGGAACAGCTCTGAAAAGAACTAAAAGAATGATCAGAGCTTAAAAAAGCCAAGATTTAGCAAATTAATTTATCAGTGATGAAAGTCAGACTATTCACAAGTTGCCTGTTAATAGAATCTGCACAAGGAAGACATCTCTGTTAGTAGACCATCTTTAATTATGGGAAAAAAGAGATAATAAATAGTGGCTGAAGCCATACAAATTTAAAATAGTAGTAAGAATAAAGATTTTAACCAGGGAGATCAGTAATCATTGGAGCATTACCAGGGGGTGGTATGATTTTCAACTTTTTTTTTTCAATTTGAGATTGCCAAATTTTTATTTTTTTTTAAGAGAGTTTGCACTGCTTTTCATCGAATGTTATTCTGGTGACAGTGTGCTTGCTTTTCTTTGTTACCTTTCCCAGATCTCCAGATGTCCACAAACAAACCTAAGGACATCAGTTCTTCATTGCTAAAAGTCATTAAATGCAAATGAACCTTTTTCTGAAAAGTTTACCTAAATAGAGCAGAGTTTTGGGTGTAGAAATTACTGAGTAGGATCCTGTGATGTGCAATACACAGAGATAAAATTGCATTCATCCTCTCCTCCTCAAATGCATTTTTATTTACCAGGGAAGGAGTTTCCCTCTTAACTGACAAAGTACTCCCTGCTGTCACTGTGGCAAAGCTTATCCTCTCTGCTCCTTATTTCAGGTCCCTCAGTCAAAAAACTTCTTCATTTGCATTTTTTATACTTTCAGGGTATTTGGCAACCTGTCCGTGCCATTCTTTTTTTTCTTCTCTAAATTGAGTTTCATTTGGGGTCAGTTTTCATTTCTGGGTATGACCAGGAATTTTCACAGCCAAAATGTCACTTCAGGATGAATCCTTACTGTGTTTGGAAGAGATTAGCTCCAGGGTGGCATGACTACTGCTGTTTTTTCTATAAGTAGACTATCAGATCCTGCAAAGAAAACTCTCAGATTTTCTTTCCAAGGGACATTATAAAGCAGAAATTAAGTGTAAGTTAGATGTGAATCAAAATCAGTTCATACTGCTGGGCAGGTGGTAGAATTTTGACTACCTACATTGAAGTTTGTGTAACATGGAAAGCACATTTCACTTCACAGAATCACAGAATGTTCGGGGTTGGAAGGGACCTCTGGAGATCAGCTGGTCCAGCCCCTCGGCCAGAGCAGGGTCACCTACAGCAGGTTACGCAGGATGGCGTACAGGTGGGTTTTGAATGCCTCCAGAGACAGAGACTCCACCACCTCTCTGGGTAGCCTGTCCCACCCTCAAAGTAAAGAAGTTCCTCCTCGTTTTTAGATGGAACTTCCTGTGTTCAAGTTTGTGCCTGTTAACTCTTGTCCTGTCACTGGGCAGCACTGAGAAGAGGTTGGCCCCATCCTCCTGACACCCACTCTTTAAATATTTATAAGCATTGATAAGGTCCTTCCTCAGTCTTCTCCAGACTGAAAAGCTCCAAGTCCCTCACCCTTTCTTCATAAGAGAGGCGTTCTCGTCCCCCTGATCATCTTTGCAGCCCTTTTCTGCACCTTCTCCAGCAGTTCCCTGTCCTTGAACCACAGAGCCCAGAACTGGGCACAGCACTCCAGGCAGGGCCTCACCGGCGTAGAGGAGAGGGGGAGGATGACCTCCCTTGACCTGCTGGCCACACTTCTGGATGCGCCCCAGGTTGCCATTGGTCTTCACGGCCACAAAGGCACATTTGCTGCTTGAGATTCAATAGGAACTCGTCTGCTGGCGTATGAATTTTTAGTTTCGTACTAACCCTCCCATTCTGAGGGTCCAGACACCAAATAAACTAACAACAGGTACGTGGCCAACATGTACAAACTCTAGAATGGACTCCTCTCCCTTGTTTATCTCATTTTAAAAATTACTGGCCTAATTTGCTTTCCTTTGCTACTGATAAGTAAACCTGTACTATATGTACCTCTGTTCATCATGCTTTCTACTGAAAGGCAGGTACGCTTTAATTGCCGAGATAAACTGCTGTCAAGGTCTGTGACTCAGCAAGTACATTGGGTACCTTTGCTACGAGGGCAGTGCAGGGAACAGATAAGAGTTAAATGCTGATGGATTATGTCATGCCATTACAGCATGAAAAACAAAAATATCAGTTTCTTCACAGGGTGGAAGCAAGGGGAAAAAAACAGTTCTCTTTTTCAAGCTTCTCTTGATTGTTTTTTTCAAATTTGTTTGTACAAGTGAAGATGCATGGTCTCATATATAACCTTCCAATCGGGTTTGGGTACACCCACTGGGCAGCATATCTCCCATGAATGCTGCTTTATAGAAAGACTAAATAACTGAGTGCAATTCCTATCTTTAATCTGCGTTTAGTGCCATACATGTTAAAACCTCCATATTATATAAATTAGTTTGATAAATGTAATTTTTCTGTAAGTGTGCCAGAATGTCTGAAATTCAATATGCAGTTAATACTCCAAACATTTGGAGATGCATAATAATCTCATTTATTATACTGTTTTCTTTGTTATTTACAGAAAGGCTTATGAGTCTTGTACAGGTTTAGTCTTGCAAGCAGTTTCAAAATGCCATTCATCTTTCCATGTATTTCTTTACACAGCAGTTCTGAGCTGGTGTTTCTTACTCTCGCAGTGCTTGCATTTAAAAAAGTATAGCCAAAAAATAATACAAACCCTTGAGTATTATTCTGCTCAAAAGAAGTTGTACTAGCTTTTCTCTTTGACTCTGCTAGCTAAATTTTCACTAGAAGATAATGAAACTTGGGTAATATGCTATGAAAACCGGATGTGCTTAGCTAAAAAGAAGTATTTGGTAAGTTTGTTTTGCTAGCTTGTAGGTGGAAAGCGCAGCTGAGATCACGCTGCTCAAAATATCAGTTGATTGCTGTATGGTACCTGTTTGTCTGTTTTCTGATTGGGTAAAGCTGTTGCTGGGCTGATACTGTTTTGACCAAAATTAGAAAGTCAATATAAACGAGTCAAACTAGACTGCCTGCTTTTTTTCAGTTCTCTCTTCTGATTCATCAGTTGTTTGTTTCAAATTCTTACAGCCTTTGTGAATTGGGGGTTGTGCCAGCAAAGGTGAAAGCTCTTAGTGGTTAGTCAGTAAGAATGTTCATAAAAATTTGTCTCGATGACATTTAGATGGTAGCAAAAATATGATGCCTCGTTTAAAAAAAAAAAAAAAAGGTGGAAGTGGGTCCTGCAAAATGATCTATTAAGTATGTGGATGTACAAACCTGTTCCTCACTGAGGAGATATGCTTCTCATATTCAGGGATAGCATCCATCATTTTGGCCCCAAAAGGATGTTAATGCCAATGTCTTATGGCAGAGGCTTAAGACCTTAAACTTGCATATGAAGGCATGTAAGAAAGAAGATTCACTACTTACACATCTTTTTTTTCCTATCAGTATGTATACTTCACCAAGTTGGACTGTGTCTGGTTAACTATGTTGTTAATATCATGGAGGATTAGAGCATCTGAAAATAGAACTATTATATTTGAATAAAACACCATGTAACTTGTTTAGCAAAATGTTTGGGTAGTGCAGGTACAGCAGTTTAGCGGTTGAGGGTAGATGGCTAAGGCGTGATGTCTCTGTTATGTAGGATGGCAAGGTTATAGGGCACCTGTCTTTAAAAGAAGAAAGAGAAGGAATTGGGGAATAACAGACTGGTCAATTTAGATTACATTTCTGGTAAAAATCTGGGCCACGTAATTGAGGTATCTGCAAGCAATTTGACTTAACAAGGGCATGAGCAAGAGCTAGCATGGATTTAAGAGTAACAAATCAAGGAGAAGTAGTTCAGCCTGCACAATGGGTAACAGGCTCAGAGAACGGAAGGTGCTGGTCTCCGGCTATCACAACAGACTCTTGCTTACTTGAAAGCTTAGTAAGCTCTGGCCCATATGATTATTCTAGTTACAAAAAGTGATGGGTTTAGATGTTTTAATATTACTGTGGGGTTGATAAAAATGGATGACCTATACTAAGTATATCCAATTAGTAATTACCCCAATGCTATGCTAGTTCTGTCAGATGTTTGTGATTTCTTCTGTAAACTAGGTTATGAGAAATAGCAGCATAAAAAGATTATTTCTAGTTGCTGTATTTGGCATTCCTTCAGATGTTCTGGACCTGCTATTAACTGAATTCTGAGGCAAATTAAGTACTGTCTTCTTTTTAAGCAGCTAATAGCTTCTGATGTTTTCTGTGTAATATGGTTTATTTATTTTGTTGCAGGATTTGGTTATCCGTATCATCTTTATTCTTGGCAATTTAACAGCAAAGAATAACGAGGCCCGTGAGCAATTTTTTAAAGAAAAAGGAAGTGTTAACACCTTGATATCGTTATTCCAAACCTACCATGAACTTGATTTGAATGCGCAGAAACGGTACCGTGAAAGAGGAGGGGAAGGAAAAACGCACCCAGAGCACCCTTCAGAAGCAGAAGATGTTCTAATAAAACTGATAAGTGTGCTGGCCAATCTCTCCATTCATCCCAGCATAGGAGCAGCTCTGGCAACTGCCCATCGTGTTGTAGAATTACTTGTTACAGTACTAGGTAATAAAATCTATGTTGTGTTTGTTACCTTTGTTCAGTCTCTAAGGAGAGTTCAGGATTTTTCTACTTGACCTTCTTACCTAGGTTGAGCCATAACTAAATCAGTTCCATTGCTAAAATAACAAAGTCAATCTGCTGATTTTCATAAACATGTGCTATGTAGAAAACCTGTTTGAGACAGTGGAAGCATTGCTGCTTAGGTATTGACTTTTCAGTGTCTGGGGAAGGATGCTGTAGAAGTGTTTAATTCAGTGATCAGATCTGCAGATGTGGTCATTAAGGGTAAGCAAACAAATTTTATTTTAAATACATCTCACTGAGAGTTGGTAAATAAGGGAAGTCTCTTTTTCTCACATGTTACATACATGTGGTAGTTGGTTGTTGCTTTTTTTAAGCTTTGCAGGTTTTGTGCCTATTCTGGTTTAAGTATTCTTTATGTTCTCTGCACCCAAAACTTTCTGGCTTCCTTGAAAAAAATTTCCTTCTTTTTTTTCTTTTCTTTTTTTTTTTTTTTCAGATTTCCAACCTTTATCTTTTTCAGGTGGAAGAGAGTGTCCCTTTCCCTCAAAACAGAGGATTAGGAGTGCAGTTCCTTTACCACTTACAGATCCTTCTGTAAATCTAATTACAGGCTAGGACTGGGCAGTCTCTTCTCCTTGTAACAAAGTTTAGCAGTGGCAAGATGCATCTCAAAGAACTCAGTATATTTAGTGTGTAATGAGAACATTAAATAGTATATGAAGACAATCAGCCTGATTATATGCTAGTTCACCAGTGTTACCCACCAGCTATGGGGCATTAGAGGAGGCAAATTTACAACTTTTTTCTGTCTTAAGTAACTTCCTGGGTTGAAAGTGTCTCACTCCTTGCATAAGCACTTTTGAGCCTCAGAGCTTCTCTCTGCCCCCCTCCTCTCTTCTTGAGCACTTCATGAGGTTACTACAAAGCCTTGTTTCTCCCTCTGAACTGACCTCTCTCTTACTTCCTTCACTCCTGATGTCTGAGGCCAGAAACCTCAGATAAATTGGTATACACAACTTTCAGACTTGCTAGTGTAATCTTACACTGGTTAACATTTTCTCAGGAACTTTGAGAAAGAATCTTTCAAATATTGTTAAAGAGGTCTTTTTTTTGTCTTTTTTTTTTTTCCCTATGGTACCTGACATTCCAGTATAACACTCCTTGATATTTCTGTGTGTCTATCACAGAGGCCTATTTCTGCATGTGGATTCTCCCCAGTTCTATCTTAAACCAGCAAACAGGATCTGTAAAATGTCTTCATTAACTAGATTTTAGACCATGTTGCCTTAGTTGCAAAGATTTCTTTAGATCACAGAATGGTAGGGGCTGAAAGGGACCTCTGGAGATCACCCCTGCCAGAGCAGGATCACCTACAGCAGGTTGTGCAGGGTGCTATCCAGGTGGGATTTGAATGTCTCCAGAGGAGAGTCCACCTTCTCTCTGGGCAGCCTGTTCCAGTGCTCTGCCACCCTCAAAGTAAAGAAGTTCCTCCTCGTGTTTGGATGGGACTGCCTGCATTCAAGTTTGTGCCCCTTACCCCTTATCTTGTCAAAGATGAAGAGTTGGAGAGAGTGACTTTGTGTTGCCATTTTTGGATCAGCTGTTCCTGTTACTTTCTACCATGTTACTCAAAACCAGAACAGTTGTCTGTAGTAGTGGCCATGTAAACTATGATTCAGTTTGCTTCTGAGATTTAACGCACTGCGAAGTTACTCATGTGCGGGTGTGTATTGACATATGCGTATGCTTTGTGGGTTTTTTTACCATCAGAATACAAGTCAGTCGATGACTGTGAGGAGTTGGTCATCAATGCTGCAACAACAATCAACAATTTGTCCTACTACAAAGTGAAGAATTCTGCTGTTGAAGAAAAGAAGCTACATATTGCTGAAAGTAAGGACTTCTAAACTAGTACTTTCTGTCTATCTTTTTGAAACTGGAAGTTACTCAGGCTATATTTTGACACTGCAGCAAATAAAGATGCTGGTAGTGTTTTGTGGTATCATATTCCTGGGATATAAAGTCCATAGGGTTAAATTCTTGCCACAATGATTTCTCTTCTTTTTTTTTTTCTTTTTTTTTAAACATAATTCTGTGAATTGTTTGAAAATAGTTCAGTTTTTGACAAAACCCCTTCTTTTCCTTTCCAAAGGAATTTGCCATATGGTTTTCTGTTTAGCAATTTTTGATAGACTTGTTCAAAATTTATATGACTGAGCCAAAATAATCATGTTGCTTTTTACTTCTAATCAAAGTATAGTAAGAAAGTTGTTGTATTTCTACTTAGTACTTTCTAGAGCTGCAAAATCTGATTTATGTCTATTTCTGGCTTATAAATCTTTTGGCAGTATAGGAGTTGTGCGACTCTCTCCTCCCTGACAGTGTGGACAAGAGTCATATTTTAGTAAAGTTTAGGAACTGCATCTGAGCTCTGGGACTCACTGAGTTAATGTTATACAAAAGGTAGAGAGTTTGTGCCTTGCATACCTGTCTACCTAAATAAACAGGACACAGGGGAGAGACAGAACCTGAAGTTCACACAACAGGTAGAATGAGGAGTAGAAAAAATATTCCAGCTGTCAGTGTAGTGCCCTGACTGGTAGGCATCGTATTCTTTCTAGGTAACAGTTCTGCTGTTCTGTCATGAGTTATTTTATCTCCCATAAGCCAGCTGTTTCTTACTGTCAGTCAGAGAAATGTGGAAACAAATGACTTCTCTGCCTGTCCCATTCACTCTCCCTCTCCTCATTTCATTATTAGCATGCAGGACCAGCCTCATCATCTTTCCTCTGCCTGAAATGAGGAGAGAGAAAACCTTTTTAGGGAAGGCCAGCAGGCTTCCTCCTCCAGGAGACATTTTGAGGATACTTGTTGATTGATTCAAGTGGTGGATCCCAAAAAATAATAATTTCAAATGTCTCTCTAAGACAAGTTCAAGGCATGTTCAGTAATGCAACATTCAAAGACTATAGTATTAGGAACAAAGCCAACCTCTTTTCTGTATTTTTTATCTCACTTTTCTATGGTAGAAGGGTTAAAGATTGACTAATTTGAGTCCTTTATAGGATGGACTGGTTTCAGTGGTTCACTTCATACTCACAGAAGACTGGTAGATGTAACTTCTGTAGCTTCGCTCCTTTGCCATGCACCAAAAACCTACATGATGATAGGTCTTCTTAGGAAATGCTGAAGGTTGCCTTCTATCTGCTGAAGTTACATGCTAATCGTGTGAAACTGCTAAGCAGGAAAGCAGCAAGCAAGTAAATGCTTCAGACCAGGGCCAGTATTACGTAGCTGTTCAGAAAGAAATGTGTTTGTTGGTTATAGCAGCACTGAGAGAAAGCAGAGCTAATGTCAGAAAATAATTTAAGTTTTAGGAGACATCCCACTGTAAGACCATCTGTTCAGGGTCTAAATCAATTCTCTTGTATATTGTAACTTTTTTTTTCATTGTCTTCCTTGATTTTCAGATGAGCCTGCTCAAAACTGTAGCAAAACTGGCTCCCGTTATTAAAACTATATTTAGGCTATCGTTGTAGCTGCTCATTTGTTCCTTTGCATTTAGCCCCATATTGGAGCTCTTTGTCTCATCTTCAGAGCCCTACACAATTTAGCTGTTGTTCTACCATCAGTTCACTCCCTTCACTGCAACTAGACAGACAGATAACTGTTGCTGTTTATTACATTTATCGCTGTTGCTGCTTGCCTTCTGATATTGACAGAAAGCCAGAACATGTTTGTGATATACAAGTAATTGTTTTTATTTCTCTGTAAACCAATAGTGCTTCTAAAGCTGTTATTGAGCAACAATATGGATGGAGTTGTGGAGGCTATCAGAGTCTTTGGCAATCTTTCCCAGTATCATGAGATCTGTGACTTCATCATAAAGAAAAAGAGTGAGTTACTTTTGCGTTTGTAGGAGTCCTGTTTTTAAATGTTTGTAGTTCTAAAACGGAAAGATTGTTAATGAGCTGTCTTAGTTAAAGGGTAAAAGCAGTCTTCTGTGATCTTTTGCAAGTTAGGCAAATGTTAGAATCCAATAATAGTCATTATAAACACCACTTTATTTTAGTTTCACGAAGATAAACACTACAAAACCTCATTTTTTCCTAAAGATTGTAATCCTGAAATTTCCATTTGCTCCTTCAGTTTTTCAAATCCTACCAGTTAGTAGTGATGCGATACAAAATGAAACTTCTGGCTTAGGTTCATAATCATAGATTTTTGATGCCCATGTTTGACAGCTTGTTAGCACTTTGTAACATGCATTTAGGATGTTTGACTGCTTCGACAAAGAGACCTCCTATTTGCCTCTGGGTAAAGTAGATACAAGTCTTCTCAAGTCCTTTTGCTTTGGGTGTCTAAATTGCTTTGGGAAAAAGAGTAACTCCCTGCTGTCCACAGAAGGTGTGTCATAAGTTTAATGAAACACTAGTTCCCAGTTACATGTCAGTGCTGATAGTGAGGTGATATGCTGCAGTATATAACCCCTTCTTTCAAGGGTAGGCATATCACTGTTTTTGGAGGAGAAGGTATGCAGAGGGAGAGCTGACACTGAGCAGCTGGTTGCTGCAGAGCCATCTCAGACAACGGACGGAATTTTCCACCTGGGAAAGACTGTGGTGTCAGCGTGCCGAGCTCGAAAAGATCTGAAGGGCTGCCTCTCTGTGAGGCAAGACTGACTCCCTCACTGGGGCTGCCTTTCAGCGCCTACCGAGCTCAGCACCAGCAAGTGCTGCCAGATGCTGCACATCCAGCGTCTGCTCCTTGCCTGTCTCCAGCGGGAGCCCTGGGCTGCAGCAGTTCCAGCCGGACTTGGTGTAGCCTGGGGCAACCCTGCTGCCCACGGAGGGAAGAACTTCCCTCTCTGAGTGCCAGATGACAAATCCTGGCAGTTTCTGCTGACTGTGTGATTGAAAGGAGGTTAAGAAATACGCTGTAATCTAGTTTGGTAAACTTACCCTTTTCTGATTGGATTTTCATGTTGCTTTGGTGTATTTTTATAGCTAGAATTTTGTATGCTGCTTTGAAGAAAGCTGGTGCTCAGGCATCATGTCATAATGGCTGTTACTCTGGGTCATGCACCTACCCTGTAAATCACAGAATCACAGAAAGTTGGGGGCTGGAAGTGACTTCAAAAGATCATCTAGTCCAACCTCCTTGCCAAAGCAGGATCACCTAGAGTGGGTCACACAGGAACGCATCTGGACAGGTTTTGAGTGTCTCCAGAGAAGGAGACTCCACAACCTCCCTGGGCAGCCTGTGCCAGTGCTCTGGCACCCTCACAGG